TATTGGATGCCACGCCATAAACGACAGAGCAAAAATGCTTGGCCGCCTCAGTCCAAAGCAGAACGGGGAGGGGGGGGGGGGCTAAATGGAGGATGACTTCTTTCATCCAATACAAAGAGAAGGAGAGGATGAACCGATCCATGAGCATATCTTACAACATGTGAGGAATCAATTCGATTGGAACCATCAAACATTTTACTTGAATGCTATATGATTTCTCCATTAATTCAATGAGTAATTGCCGGTAAAATCATGTCAACATTGTTAGATGTTGCACCAAGTAATGGCATTGCAAATTGACATGCAATGTTGTTAGCCTTCCACAACAAAGACCAACATGAACAAAAATTGTGGGGATGGTGATTCTTGCTACGGTGATGAATAGTGCAACCACATAACCCCCTGAACAAAGTTATCTGTTTTTTCTAGTACACAATGCACAAAACTTGTCTGTTTTTGACAAAAATCTACATGTGCACAAGGAACATGGACATGAACATGTGGCATTTTTTTATCAACCCTCAATTGCTTGGGGAAATGGTGCTTTCACCTTTTTTTCTTCTACCATACTGATATTAGGGAACACGGCCCTACTTGTTATTGGTGGGATCAGGGATACTTGCATCAAGAAATGTATGGAAGAATTAGTAATGGTTTAGCCGAAAGTCTAAGTTTATCGTAAGCTTGGTGTCAAATTCTGAGAAGAAAAACCACTCAAAAAAATTCTCAAAAGAAAAAAGACGAAAGGAAGAACCTTTACAAACATGTTTCCTGCAACCCTGCGTTTTATTTTATAAGGACCTGACAACCTAGGAGGTTATCAGGCGAAGCAGCAGCGCAGAGATCGCTCCGGCCGGCAGAAAAAATGGTCCGGTCGGTCCGGAGCGTGGCAATCACGATGGACGTTTTTCTGCAGAAAGAACCAAAAAGGAAGAGCGGCACGCACGCACGGACACCACCACCTGCGCAAAGCGTCGGGCATCATTGGGACGAAGGGATTGAGAGCAAATCATGCGCTGGGGTTAAGGGGTCGGATCCCATCGATTGCATCCTTCCTTCCTTCGGGAATTGGGCAGGGAAGATCATCATCACTCATCACAGAGGACGGAGACGGAGAGCAACAAGACATGTGAATTATACGCTCGTACAGTGAAGGAAGGGCGAAGGAGAGAGTAAAAAAAAAAGGGAGGAGCTAGAGCTATGAACCTGGCGTGTCAGGAGGCCATGCCGTGGCTAATGCCATCACGAGGGTAGCTGCATGATTTGGCTTGTCAGCGGGCCTTTTCAGTGTCAATGCCGCCATCAGCTTTTCAACCCGGCCAGCGCGACAAAAGGCATCCCCTCTCACACACACACACACACACACACTCATATTCCGTCGGGTCACGAGCAACAGTAACACGGGCGTCCTACCGCATGCCAATATGCCATGCCCCCTTCCATTCACTTTCGCTAAGCCGGGTTGCTGCCTAATTGCATGGCTGCATGCCTACCCTGATCTGGCCCCAACCCACATCTCGTCACCCCCCCTAACCGCACGATCGACCGACTTGATGGCTATCTTCTGCGTGCGCTTTTTGTTTCCGCCGTGTAGTAGCGTGGATGGAGTTCCCGGCCGGCCTTGGGATGGTGGGGATGGTGGTGGGGGTGTGCCCAAATGGGACGGGTTCGGGAGGAGCTAGGCACTAGAGAGCGAAAGGGGACATACATGGAAGAAGAATTACACGAGACAAGAATGTGTTGTGCGTGGATGAGAGGGAGAGGGGAGCACGGAGCGGCGACTATTCTGCTCCTCCTAATACTCTATTTCCATACAAGTAGCTGGCGATGGCAAGCGTGCGTGCGAGGAAGATGCTAACTGCTATAGATAGCGCAGCAAAGGTGATGTCTTATAGCTTGGCCTTTGTTTAGGCGCACGTTAATCTATCTGCTCGTGGCCGTAGGGATGCATGCAAGGCAAGCATTATAAAAATGGCGCTGCTAATGATGGGTTTATTAGGTTAGGGAAACCGCGCAAAAGGGCGATTATTCTAGCAGGAAAGCGCAGGCGCAAGTACAGGCTAAGTCAATTGATTAATGGAACAACAGGAGTAAGTACCACTGTAAGCAGAGAGGCTGCCTCCGATCATGAATTCACAGCACAAGCGAGCATGAGATGATACTACAAGTCTATTCTTCTACTAGGAAATGAACTTCTTCTATTACGGACGGACGGACGGACGGGAGCTCAGCTTACAGGGACAAGAACAGACCAAGAAAGGTGCCCCTTTTGAGATCAGATAATCTAATTAATCCTAAATCGCGAGCTTCCATCGGATCCCAAGAACAAATAAAGCTTAGATTTCTAGACATCAGACGGCGCCCTTTCTTGGGGTTAATTTCTTAGTAGAACCAACGATCCAAGCTACAGAAAGAAAAGTAATGCAATGATAACTGAAATGAAAGCTAAATGGCTTTGCCTTTCTCCTCCCTCTTCTTCTCTGCCTCTGCTCTCCCTAGTTCACGCCGACTGCGGCGATGAGGCTCCGTTCAGCTTGTGGCCGGCGGCGAAGATGGGGCTGGGCGTGGCGGTGGTGGTGGCGGTGGAGGCGGAGGAGGCGGTACCGTTCATGTTGAAGCCCGTGGTGGTGGGGGCCGGGGAGCTGTGGCTAACGGAGGGGTTGAATGGCGCTGGTGCTGGTGCGCCGGTGGCCGGCGAGAGACGGAATGGCCCGCCGGCGGCAGGGGCGGTGGGGGTGGTCGCGGCGGAGGAGGCCGCGGCTGAGGCGCTGCGGCGCGCGCTGTGGCCGCCGAGGTAGTTGTGCTTGTTGTTGTGCATCCAGACCTTGAAGACGCCCTTGCTGACGCCGATGTCCCGGCACCACTCGTCGACCACGCCCTCGTCGCGCTTCTGCAGGCGCCACCCCAGGCGCTCCGACAGCTCCTGCATCCGCTGCTTCTGCTCCGCGGTGAACTTGGTGCGGAACCGCTTCCTGGCCGGCATCATCCCGTGGGGCGGTGGCGCCGTCGCCGGCGAGAGCTGGGCGGGGAGCCTGCTCTGGCCCTGCGGCGCCCCCGGCGCGCTGGAGTTGAGAGACAGCAGCATGTGTGGGTGTGGCGCAGAAGAGATATACGGCGGCGGCGGCTGCTGCGCCACCGGAGCCGGAAGGTGCGCGGGTGGAGGGTGCTGGGGCGGGGAGACGGAGCGCTCGTCGTCGTACTCGGAGCCATCCGAGTCGGAGTCAGAGTCGTCTCCGTCGACGCCCGGGAGCCGGTCATCCGGCGTCTCCTGCCCGTGCCCGCGCTGCGGCAGGCCATGGAGCACGGTGGCCGGCATGGGCATGGGCATGGGCATGGGCGGCGCCGGCAGCAGGGCCGGCGGGGGCGGGGGCGGTGGCGGCGGCGACCCCTCCACCATCACAAGGCGGTGGAAGTTGCGGTGGCAGCCGCAGGCCGCGCACTTGTACGAGGCCGGGTCGGCGGTGTTGAGCTCCACCACCGGCATCCACTCGCCGCAGCCGTCCACGGCGTGCGCGCCGATGGCCGCCGCGTGGTTCTTGAGGCACTCCTTGTACGTGGGCACGGCCTCCACCGCCGCTGGCGGCGGCGGCGGCACGGGCGCCGCCTGCCGGAGCTTCTTGACGGAGCCGTTGGGGTAGAGGGCCGGCCTGTACTTGACGTCCATGGCCTCCATGCTCCGCTCCGCTCCCTCCGCGGTGTCACCCGGCTTGACAAGGATTACTACCGCTAGTGGGCTTTAGTTAGGGACGGGCAGGGGTCAAGGGAGTGAGGAAAACTACAGGTAAGGATGTGAAGCGAGGCCAAGGCGAGGAGATAAGAGTATAAAAAGGGCGACGGCGACGCTCAAAGACGAAGCCCCATTAATCCATGTCATTAGTGATGAGCATATGCACACAAAAGAGAAATTTCCCAAAGATCGTAGAGATAGATAGATAGATAGATCATGACGACACACTGTGTTGAATCAGTTGCAGGTGCATCTGTATCCCGCGTCACACCGTCACCGCCCAGGAGTTAAACATGGACCGCTGATCGAAGAATCAATCAAGACAGGCGCCACCGAAACCCGGCCGTTTTTGTTTGACCTCCATCATTTTTGCGCATCATCACAGAGACGGAGGCGACGCGTGTACACCACTGTTGCACATTTGTCCCCAGTTTGAGCTGTCAATGTATATTTTTCATCAATTAGGTAGAAATTAGTAGTAAGCATGCACTGCCAACCACATTTGTGACCAACCCCAGAATACATACTGTAATAAGTATGGGTTAAGTATATAAATAACACGATAAAACACCAATTATCACTGGCCACAACAATTCTGGAAAACAAAAATGTGGTTTCTCCCTTAACCTGGATTTGATGTTGCGACGTGTGTGATCAAGTAAGAAAACGTGTATACTGTTTTTATCGAAAGTTACAAACCATAGCAAATCTTAAAACCATAATGCAAATAATGCATTTGTAATCAACAATTGTTAATTTCAAAACACAGTTGTCAATCTTGGGATATAAGCCACATATTCAATTATCGCCACCACTTATGTCGGTGTCAAGCACATAAATGTATATACATAGTACTATTTGCCACAAGCCATAACAAATTTCATTAACATAATGCAGTTTTTCAACACTCGATGATCGTGCAAAAAAACATGCAAACCATTTTAAGCAGCTATTAGTAAGCATGGCTAATTTCAATACATCTAATTTAGCATAACACATTTTTCAGTTGCTATAGAAAATTTCTACACCATATAGGAAGTGTCAATTTTGCTTAGCCATGGATTTGAGATGTCGCGTGTGTAACAAATAATGAATAAATGTGTTAATAGTTATCCGGTATTTGTGTTGTCACTAGTGTAATCAGGAAATTAGGAAACATGTAAATCATTGCCCCTGGTTTGAGGTGTCATCGCGTACTTATACAATCAAGAAATATGCAAATGATTACCTTCCATTTGAGCTATTATTGACATACATAAGTATACATCCAAGAGATGTATAAACCATACTCAAGATTGATTTGTCATTGGTGTCATTTGAGAGTACAATGAACTTGTAAACCATTTTTTATTAACTTCTACCAACTATAGCAAATCTCAAAAGGCACACTACACAAATAACAATCCAACGATTGAAGACCTCAAAAGGACAACATCAATATTTTCCTATAATTCTTAAGTGCATAACAAAAATATTATTTGCCATAAACAATAGTAAACTCTAGTAACACAATGTCCAATTCCCCCCTAATGCTCCATCTAAGCTATGTGATTAAACCAAGAAAATTCATACGCCACTTCAAGAAACAACTCTAGTAACAACCAATATTATTTGATTGGAGTGAACAGTTTGTATCTATGAGGAACAAAGAAATTCTGATCAAAGCTGTTGCACAGGCCATTCCTACATATGTGATGAGTGTCTTTAAACTGCCGGCATCAGTCTGTGACGACTTAACACGTATGATCAGGCAATATTGGTGGGGTGTGGAGAACGGTAAGAGGAAAATGGCCTGGATTAGTTGGAAGAAGATGGTTGTCCCTAAGTCTATGGGGGGCATGGGATTTCGGGACATGAGAGCATTCAACCAGGCCTTACTGGCTAAGCAGGCTTGGAGATTGTTGGACTGCCCAAACAGCTTGTGTGCAAGATTATTAAGAGCCAAATATTATCCCCATGGCAACCTGTTGGACACAGTGTTTCCAACTAGTTCGTCAGCAGTGTGGAAGGGGATTGTACATGGGCTTGAGCTGGTTAAGAAAGGAATTATTTGGCGTGTGGGTGACGGAACACTGATAAGAACTTGGAGGGATGCCTAGATCCCAAGGGGTCACAACTTTCGGCCGATAACACCGAAGCGTAATTGCAGACTTAACTGGGTGGCAGATTTCCTGAATGAGCACGGTGCATGGGATGAACAAAGGCTGAGAGAACATTTTTGGGATATGGATGTTCGAGAAATTCTTAAGATCCGTACTTCACCGAGGAACGGCCAAGACTTTATAGCCTGGTTCCCGGAAAGAAGTGGACTTTTTACGGTAAGGAGTGCATACCGGCTGGCGACTATTGGCAGCGTACCGGAGAGGGCACCGGCGACCAGCAACAACCCGTCCAGGGATCGGCCGGTGTGGCAATGCATTTGGGCAGCTAAGGTTCCCCTAAAGATGAGGATACTGGCGTGGAAAGTAGTCTCGGGTGCACTTGCAACAAATTCTTGCAAACACCATCGGCATGTATCCACAAGAGACAGTTGCCCCTTGTGTGCGAGAGAGAAGGAATCCAGTTTTCATGCTCTTGTTACATGCGATCATGCGCAGGCGATATGGCAACAGATGAGGATGGTATGGAAACTACCAAGCCAGGAAATCCTGCATGATACAGGGAAGGATTGGTTGCTCAACCTGCTAGCAAACTGTGATGAGTACATGATGGATTGTGTAATTATGTTGGTGTGGCGCATTTGGTCGCTCCGCTCAGATCTGGCTCATGGGAAGGATGTGCCTCCGGTGGCTACAACTGTATCCTTTTTGTGCAGCTACATGCAGTCCCTCGATCTGTCAAGGCGGTTTTGGACCGAGGATATTATCAAAGGAAAAATGCAGGTTGGGCGGGAGGCTCCGGCCACTGTGGGGACGGAGGCCATAGCTCAACCATGGCCGAAGCCAACACCGGGGAAGGTGGCCCTGTCAGTTGATGGTGCTTATTCACATACTGATGGTTCAGCGGCGGCAGGGATGGTGTTGAGGAATCATGATGGGAGCGTTATTTTCGCCGCTTACAGATACATATTTAACTGCAACGACGCGCTGGAAGCGGAGCTGCATGCACTGATGCAAGGCATGGCGCTAGCAGTCCAACACTGTGAGCTCCCGGTCATAGTCCAGTCGGACTCTTCTGTCGCCCTATCTGCCCTCTCGGGCGACAGCTTATCTAGATCTGCCTACGGGCACTTAGTTGCTGAGATTCGTCACCTAATGATAGATAGAGTTTTCATTCCATTCAAGATTAGTCGTGTGCAGAATAGGGTAGCAGATCGTTTGGCCCTGTATAGTCGTACAGAGCATACCACTGCTGTATGGCTTGGCCGAGGTCCGCCGTGTATCGAGGATCTCTTGCCTCGCGATTCTAACCCTATACCTTTGGAATAAAACTCTTCTATTAGCGCAAAAAAAAAGAAACAACAACCAATTGTGGAAATGACTAGCATAAAAAAATGTCATTGTTTATCGCAAATCTCGATTCCATAACAAAGCGGACTTTCTTTAAATCCTGAATTGAGCTGTTATCGGTAACATCAAACATTAGAGACATGCAAACAGTAGGGTATTATTCTAGTTTTCATCAATTTAGTAGAACCAAGATGTCCGTGAATCATTAACCTATATTTGGGTTGTTATCGGTGTAATTTGGCACACAAGAATGTGTAGAACATTCTTCCAGATTTGAGTGCCATTGGTGTAATTTGATAGTCAAGAGACCTATAAATCATATGTATCTAGCTCTTAGAAACCTCAAACCGCAGTGTTGCACTTTGCTTATATGCCCCTAATATTCGTATACAAAACGTGTAAATAAATCTTTTTTACCAATTCTCACCAACTATGATAAATATCAAGCATGCGCAAGATGTACCCTAGCCTAATATGTTTTTGACAAGCCATATCAAATACTAATAATGCAAATGCAATGAGAATTTTTACTAATCTTGAATTTGAAATATTATTTGCACTGTCTAATACATGGTAAAGGAATGTTTAAATGATATTTATCCTCTATCATATACTGAAGACATAACATAGTCCGAAACACATGACATGTCATAAAACATTTGGTCACCAACTTAATTAGAAAATCTCAAAACCATGATTCATCATAGGTTTTTTCTTGAACATTGAACTAGAGTTGCCATATGAATCATGGGATTCTTAAAAGGACATGTTGATTCTTTTTTATCAACTATAATAATTTTGTTGCCTTCGGCTATAAAAGATCATGAAATGACACTACAAGTGCTCTGAATTTTAGTCGCCATCTTTTTTCTTGGACAGTCAATAGTCATGTAATTTTTTGGATAATCAAAGAAAAACCTCAAAAATCATATTAACCATATGAATAGAACAATAGTCTCTCTCTTAAAAAATATCACACCACAATGACAATTGATTTTGCTTGACCATTTATTCGGGTTACACATTTGTCATTCAATAATAAATAATTTGTAAATATTTTTTTTATCAATTGCTACCAATTATAGTGTCAAAGCAATAACAAATCATAACACTAGGTTACATGGATAATGGTAAGAATGTAATTAGTGAGCAGTAAGTCACCATTAAGAGCAAATGTCACAATGAAACACTATGGGAGAATATTAATCATGCCACTAGTGAGTGACTAACAAATCGCATCTCCATCTTGTCCTGCATCACCGCTGATTTTTATCTTTAGAATCTAACCAATGCATCCTAACCATATCTCTCCATCTCCTCTGGCATCATTTTTATTTTTATCTTTAGAAGCTAACGGATGCATACTAGTTACTATTTCATTTATATGGTTAAAATCGATAGGGAATAATAACAAATGCATACTGGTTATTTGTCATTCAATATGAAGAAATATTTATAAACTAACTAAATATCGCACCACGACGTCGATCAAATTTG